CTGTGTGTGATGTAGCTGTGTAGATTCCACACACACTGAGAGTGTGGTCTGAGGTTGCCCTGGACCTCGTTGGGGGTGTTTGGTTGTGTGGAGGGGGGTGTCTCTCAGGCTGTGGGGCTGAGGTGCGTCAGGCTGCAGGCCTGAGAAAGGGGGCTGGTGGTGGGCTGGACATGGGGCTGTGGATAAGAGGCTCCCAGTGGCCACCGACAGGGCACAGTGTCTCAGGGACACAGAGGCATAGTGAGGAGGGGACAGCCCCCCTGCTCAGTGTGAGGATGTGACCCTCTGTGGTAGAGGACTGTGTAGCTAATGAGCCGTCCCTTTAATAAGGAAAGAAAAAGGTTGCCACTTGGCTCAAATCTAGTGGTCTTGTCACTGTAGAAAGAGTAAGAGCTGCATTTTTTCACTTAATTATATTTGTAACCCAGCTAAAAGGCTGTTGAGTTTCCTAAGCCCAGACATTTTCTTGTTATTTATGGGTGTTTGCCTGGCTCATGTCTCAGATGTCTGGTGCCCTGTGCTCTGGGCCTGGGTTCTGGGCCTGTGAATGTCTGGTGCCCTGTGCTCTGGGCCTGGGTTCTTGGCCTGTGAATGTCTGGCACCAGGGCGCCCTGTGCACGGCCACACAGCTTGGAGGCCAGGCCCCTCAGCCAGGTCCCTGCTTCCCGGGCTGTAGCTGGGGTGTGTGTCAGCCCAGGACCTGGGGCCCACAGCACACGCAGCAGCGCCTGACCCGTCTGCCTGTTCTAGGGACGTGAGGACCGGGGTAGGTCACTCGGTGGCTGATGCTTTGTCTTCTGCCGGTTTCCTGAGCGGACATAGGGTACCAGTTTTCATGAAGGGTTAGAATCAAACCCAGTCTCATAGCTCATTTGTTGGAGGGTAAAGGCCTCTCAGGAGCACTTGTAATTCTGGACACCACCAAGTTGCCTAGCATTTTACATTTCTTCCTCTGTTCCCTAGCACAGGACATTTTCTAAACTTCAAGATTTTAATTTAGTTCTCCTACTGTAAGTGAAGGTCTCTGTATTTCCTTTCTCTGAATTCTCAGATAATGCTTGCTCATTTTTCTGTAGGGTAATTTCTGTATTGGTGCTTCTTTGTTGTAGGAGCTTGCTGCCACTGAAGATCCTAGCTGGGGAGGAGCACCTCAAATACTTTTCCCCAGTTTGAATTTTATTTGTGGTGTTCTTTGCCATGTGGAAAACTTCAGCTTTTACTAAGTTGAACTTATGGGTCTTTTCCTTTGTAGCTAATGATAATTTTGCATCATGATTGCAAGCAGGAGAATTTGTCACTGTATTTTCTAATAGTTTTTTTTTTTTTCTGACTGTGGTTTGAGCTCGATGCCCGGTGCTGTCACTGGGCTTACTGAGCGTAGTTTATTCAGCTCACCTTGTGAGTGAACGGGCTGGGGCTGGTTCTGGTGACGGGCTGAGCAGCCCTGTGTCGGGAGCATGGCAGCATGGCACGCGGGAGACGGCCACACGCACAGAGCCAACGCCAGGACCGTCTTGCTCTCCTACCACCCACGGTCTGGGGTGCTGACCGGGCCTCACAGAAGCAGGCCACACAGACCACCAGACCAGAGCCACTGCCTTGCGTGGCCCTGCAGAGTCACACTCAAATCACGGCCAACCGTAGCCCTGACCGTGGCTAGCTGTGCGTGTGAGCAGACCTCCAGGCAGGGCTGTACCCCCTGTCCAAGCCTGGACGTCTCTAGGCTCTGCAGAGGCCTCTGCCCATCCTCTGCACCCACCTGCACCCCAGCTCCATCCACCCTGGCCCTGCCTTCCCCTCACAGGCTCAGGCCTGTGGGTCACCTGTACCCACCGCTTGTCTGGGAGTGTGGTGGGTGCCACATGGAAGGCAGAAGAGGCTGAGGGGCCAGGAGTGAGCTCACGGTGGCACCTCAGTCCTCCTTGCTTCCAGAAGCCCGCAGGCCATGGGGCGGTGTCCACACTCCGTGTCCATCGGCGTCCTTGGTCCCCAGACACGTTGCCCTTCCACCGACCCTCCTCAGGCTCCGTGAGGCCTGACCAGCAACACATCTTCAGCGCATGGCAGAGCCAGAGCCACGGGACCCCTGCTTTGCCTTTTCATTTCCCCTTTATTAGAGCATAATTGAAATGCATGTTTCCATTGAGTGTGCATGGCTTTTCAGAGTTGATACTTCAAACGTGTCTGGCACGTCAAAAGTTTCCCCGTGCCCCTTCCCTCCTGTCCCCAGGCAGACTCTTTCCTGTGGCCGTGGGTTTTGGCTCCTTTGTAGGATATACTGAATTGGCTCTCAGTTTGGAGGTCTGAGGGCAAGCCTTTGCTTCCATTCCTCTTGAGTAAATACCTGCACATGTGGTTTCCAGGTCAAACAGTGCACCTAACTGTTCAGAAACCCTTAAACTGTGCTCCTAAGAGGTGATGGTACACTACCTGGAAAGCTGTGGATTCAGGTCACATTCCTCCCTCCCTAGTTTCAGCCACAGTGATTTACCAACCATTAGGCATCCTGCCAGTCTCATCAGGGTTGGATTGCATTAGGCTAATAACTTTAGTCTGACACTGCATGCTCCAAGTTGCCAGGTGTGTATAGTTTAATCACTGTGTTTGATAGGTCTGGGGCCCACTTTATCAACATTGTGCACGATCACTTCTGAGGTGTACTTTATCAAAGCTGTGTGTTCTGAGGTGTACTTTATCGGAGCGCTGTGTGTACCGTATTGTGTGAGTCACTGGTTTCTAGGTGTAGTTGATCATTGAGCTCCACTGGTCCCAAAGTGTACACCTTGGGAATAAGGAAGTTTTCATCCTTATTAGTACTTTCTGTCTTGCGTCACTTGAATGCTCCCGGTAATACCTTACCAGGTAAAACCTCAGAGGACAAGTTCCAGACCTGGGCCAGGGCCTCCTGATGGAGAAACCCTTATGACTCAGATCTTTTCCCCATAGGAGGCCTGCCATGGGTGCAGAGAAGTCCAACCCTTCAAAACGGCACCGAGACCGGCTCAACACCGAGCTGGAGCACCTGGCCAGCCTGCTGCCCTTCCCACCTGACGTCATCTCGAAGCTGGACAAACTGTCTGTCCTGCGCCTCAGTGTCAGCTACCTCAGGGTGAAGAGCTTCTTCCAAGGTGGGACTTGTGCTTACACCTGTGCCCAGAGTAGAACGGGCCTGTGTGTTCTCCCTGGTTCACTATTGTCAGCAGGTGTGTAGAGTCTCTCCTGGTTCACTATTGTCAGCAGGTGTGTACAGAGTCTCTCCTGGTTCACTATTGTCAGCAGGTGTGTACAGAGTCTCACCTGGTTCACTATTGTCAGCAGGTGTGTAGAGTCTCACCTGGTTCACTATTGTCGGGAGGTGTGTAGAGAGTCTCTCCTGGTTCACTAGTGTCGGGAGGTGTGTAGAGAGTCTCTCCTGGTTCACTATTGTCAGCAGGTGTGTACAGAGTCTCACCTGGTTCACTATTGTCGGGAGGTGTGTAGAGAGTCTCTCCTGGTTCACTATTGTCGGGAGGTGTGTAGAGTCTCTCCTGGTTCACTATTGTCAGCAGGTGTGTAGAGTCTCTCCTGGTTCACTATTGTTGGGAGGTGTGTAGAGCTCTCCCCTGGTTCCGCTTTTGTCAGGGGTGTGTGGTGTGCTGTACTTCGTACACCTCCTCCCTTGCTCATGGGGTCAGGCAGACCTCCATGTGAGTTCACCCCTGACAGGAGTCCGGTTCCCTTTCTTTCTCCTCAAAGGTGGGGCCTTCATCCTCAGTGCTGGAATGGGATGGGTTTGCTGAGGGCCAGGGCCCGGGTCTCCATGGCAGGCGGGGCTGTGGCTGGCTTTGCCGCTCCTCTCTCCCCTAACGCTCTCTGTAACTTGGGTCTCTGGATGGGCCATGGCCAGCCCGCCTGAGTGTCTGGGAAGGTATGGCCATGGTCGGGGTCTGCCCTGTGTGTGGGAGGGAATCCTCACCCACTTGCTCCAGCGGCTGCCCAGGCCTGTCGCTCCCTCACCAAGAGCCCAGTGGCTCATCCCCAAAGCGAAGGGTTCTTGAGCACAACACTGGCCGCTCTGGGCTCTGGCTGTTGTTTGGGGGAAAAGGACTGGGCAGGACTGGGTGCAGGGCCTGAAGGGCTGGGAGACAGGCTCTCCACCGTGGGGCTCTGTCCACCCACTCTGTGATGCTCCCCAGCTTTCCTGGAGAGGCAGAACCCGTAACCGTGTGCACAGGGGTCTGTTTCCTCACACTGACTTGCACTGAGCATTTCACCAGTATTCGTCCTCATTTCCACAGTGTGTGGAGTCCTGTCCTTGTGTTCCTTAGGTCTTTAGACTTTGGGTACCCTGGACTTTGGGTCTCTGATGGGCTCAGGAAAAGTGGCAGATGGAGAAGTAGGATCTTATTTGTTAGAAGCAAGAGTGAAGTCCATTACTGCACTGTGTGCCAGCGGAGGGGAACAGACAGTAAGAGTTTGTCCACACACAAAGAAAGGGCTAGGGTGGGAAAATACCCAGGACAAGGACGGTGTGGAAGACGATGCTGGGTGGACAATACGTCATGGTGGAGGTGATGTGTAGGATGTCATGGTGGAGGTGATGTGTAGGATGTCATGGTGGAGGTGATGTGTAGGATGTCATGGTGGAGGTGATGTGTGTAGGATGTCGTGGTGGAGGTGATGTGTGTATGATGTCATGGTGGAGGTGATGTGTAGGACGTCATGGTGGAGGTGATGTGTAGGATGTCATGGTGGAGGTGATGTGTGTAGGATGTCATGGTGGAGGTGATGTGTAGGATGTCATGGTGGAGGTGATGTGTAGGATGTCATGGTGGAGGTGATGTGGAGGACGTCATGGTGGAGGTGATGTGGAGGATGTCATGGTGGAGGTGATGTGTAGGATGTCGTGGTGGAGGTGATGTGTAGGATGTCGTGGTGGAGGTGATGTGTAGGATGTCATGGTGGAGGTGATGTGTAGGATGTCATGGTGGAGGTGATGTGGAGGATGTCATGGTGGAGGTGATGTGTAGGACGTCGTGGTGGAGGTGATGTGGAGGACGTCGTGGTGGAGGTGATGTGGAGGATGTCGTGGTGGAGGTGATGTGTAGGACGTCATGGTGGAGGTGATGTGTAGGATGTCGTGGTGGAGGTGATGTGTAGGATGTCGTGGTGGAGGTGATGTGTAGGATGTCGTGGTGGAGGTGATGTGTAGGACGTCATGGTGGAGGTGATGTGTAGGATGTCATGGTGGAGGTGATGTGTAGGATGTCGTGGTGGAGGTGATGTGT